ATATAAATTTACTTACGCTGGATAAAAAGAGTGTAAAAAAATGTTGACCGAAATTCATCAGATGAAATTGGTTTGTTGGTTGGATAGCGTTTAATTCGGGCTCTACATTAGCGAAAGTTACAAATTCGGTATGTCTTACAGAAATTATTTTATCTTGTTGAACTAATTACGCGAACGTGGCTAATACGCAATTTACGTAAGCCTCGGACACTGAAAGCTGGTGCATTCCATTTTAATTATTTCAAACATTACACGGCAACCGTATATGTATTTTTTACAAACACATTGCCAAAACAGTGCAGTACGGAGTTTTCTATAAAATATGATTCATAATTTAATGTTGCTACAAAATGGGCGATTGGAGAAAATATGGAAATGCGCATGGAACGTGTTTATTGTTTCTCGCGCACCATACGGCGCGAAATGTATTGGTAGCCATTTTTTAATGCGACGTTAAACTGTTCGTGTTTTCGGCTAGCATTATAAGATCGCAAATACGTCCATGAAAATGCGAAAATCGTTCGTTCGGCAGTAAATCTGAGGTTGACAAAATAATTTTAAGCAAAAAGATATTTTTAGAAATGAACGAAAACAACCTCGAGGAAATCTCGCAACATAACAAATATGTTTCTGAATCCATGCCAAAGGGACACTTTATACCAGAGTCAAAATTGCAGATTGTTTTTTCATAAGCGATTTAAAAAATATGTTTCGTACATGCTATTCACAAATTAACGACTTTTGAAACGTCATTTTAGAGTTAGCAGGTAAAAAAAGTAAAAATAAGTCACTGTAACATTTTTCATATATTTTGGGTGCTTAGCATACACAGTTGAGTCATATTATTTAATTAATACTTTAATTAAGTCTTGAATTTTATATCAAGTAAAATGTTTTTGCCACGCCATTGTTTAAAAGTACCTATTTTTACAGTGGCTTACACACAAATGCCATTTTATGCCGCAACTTTCGCAATCTTTTAAGTGGTCAAGTATCTCCAGTGATCTTCAGGCCAACATTAAATACTAAATGAATATAAATAAAAGAAATATCTCGATTTATCGTTCAACCGCTACCAAATCACAAAACATGCTATCGTTAGAATTCCGGTAGACAGAGCTCTAATCTTATATAAGTCCGAATAGACGTTATAATCAGAAACTAAATACTTATATCAAGGATGACCTTCAGACGAATACTCATCCATTCCGTTCAAATTTTGTAGGCACAGGTCTGGAAAGAGGTAGACCAGACAAGAGTAGAAACTGCAGAAAAAGATAACCAACGTACGTTACATCAAAGGCCTCGCCGAAATGATAAAAAGAATAGGTAAACAATACGTCTAAACACCACCTTCAGTTCGCAAAATTCTCTAAGGAGCCACTATAAGAAGACAAAACACAGAGGAACACGAATAACTTGTTAGCGAGTTGAGAAAGTTAATACCGAAGTCTTATATAATTCACTACCACGGGTTGATCTTGTCGGAGTTTTTGTGAGTCACAAGTCATTGATTGCATATCCTTTAGTTTTGGTTTAATTAATAAAAAATAATCCCGAAAAAATGCTAATTTTGACTTACGCAAATAAAACACAAATAAACAATTGTCTAGCGTTTAGTAACATTTTTTGGTTAGTTTTATACCCACTGCGATACGATCCTTAATCGTTTATACGTTTACTTAACATGGGTTACTTTAGGGATTCAATGACCTATGCCTATTGAATGAATATAAATACTAAGACACCTAAACCACAAAACATGTGCTTAAAACAAATTTGAAATTTTTATATATCATAGTAAAACTGAAAGTAACTTTGACAATTTGAGACGCTAATTGCACCAATTTAAAAAAATGTGCAAATAGTTTTGTACGGGGGAGTTTCAAAGGAGTATTAATGATTTTTTTAAGTGGCAACAGAGGTGGGAACAGTATTAATTTAGGGTGTTCTAAAAATTGAATTTTGTGCTGATATAACTATGTCGGCTTTGGAGATGATGCCATTGTTTGCAATAAATAATTAGAAAATAAATAATTCATGGAAAATATACGTATGAATCTAAGAACAACCCTTCACAAAAAAGTCGATAAAAAAACGGAGAATCGTATTGAACCATTCTTTTCTCAAGCGTTACTACGAGAAAGCATCTCTGCTGTTCTTCATGTCCAATTTTAGACTCCCGGAACAAAATGAAAGCAAGGCAAACAGCAAATAGACAATAAAAGTCGATTTTCTCTACTTTGCTTTTAAATAGCACACGTGCAAATGAAAAGCCATAACAAGTATGTATGCAATGTCCTTGCGAAAGTTCGTCTCTACATTAACATTTGCTTTGAAAAAGATAAAGAAAGTGCTAATAAATTGCCAGATAATGTTCATATAATAATATATAAATAAAATACTATGCGTCATTCAAAAGATATTTCTCCTTGAGCTATAACTACAGGACATTTTTTTAAATATTTATTAAAAAGAAACTGCTAGTTAAAAAAAGTTAAATTTGAAATTTGTAGCCGGTTGATGGGTACAATAAAAGTACCAAATCATCAAAACCGTCAGGTGATCTTCCAAATCTATTTTTATTTTAAATAACTTGATATGAAGAGACAAACGATTGCGAAGACGGCAAAACAAGAGGTGTTTCATCAGCTGACTTAAAAATGCATATTTCAATTGACAACCATTAACAACATTTTTTGCTCTAAATGTTCTACCAAAAAAATTACGATAACCAAAAAATAAAATATAGAGATAACGAGGTTTAACAAAAGAAAAAAACTAAAAAAAATAACACGCAAAACAAATTGAAAGAATTATAAAACAAAAATTTAATTTAATTCCCCGTTTACCAGGTACCAAGTTTAACCAAGTATTTGGTCTTTTTGCTGTAAACGCGATAATTTTTAATTTTCTGAGTAAGTTTAACAGCAATAGTAATCGTAATTATGTTTCAATCAAAACACGAAAAAGAAAACACTAACAGTTTTTTTATATAAAAAAAATAGTGGCAAAAATATTATTGTTTTTATTTAACATTTGTTGTGACTTCTTTAAATTGCTATGTAGCGATTAAAATACAAAAATGATTAGGTAGCACTTTACAATTTTGGAGTACAAATACTGTTACACATACATAAAATGTTATATGGTCCAAAAAATGGTGGAACACACTTTTAGCGACGAACGTTGCAAGGATAGTCAAAATACAGCCTTCTCCAACTAAGATAAATACATTTTATTACTCATAAAAAGGTGAAATCCACGAACCCTTTTACGAGTTTTATTTATTTTACTTTGGGTTATCTCGACAAGTACGAAAATACATACACACACAGATAAAAAATATCGAGAGAATGCCGATGACGATAGATAAGAAACCCTTGCTTGCAAATTCAATTAAGTGATCAAGAAATTATATCAACGAAAACGCAAATGGGACAATGTCAGGTGCGTAACTAACCAAAACTCTCACTTCACCCGATCGTAAAGTTGTATTTATCAATATTTTCAAATTTAAGGAGGGGCTAACACAATGCTCATCGCGTGCAAACAATAACTTTCCTTTTCGTCTAAAGGAAACCGGAATTTTGATGTGATAAGAATAATCGCACATTGTGTCCGAAGCCTGACTCGTACAGAATCAAAATTAGTCAGAACTTTTAGGAATAACAATTTAAATGATGACTAATTATTACTAGCATAACTAACAACTATAGATGAATTCACTGGACAAAATGTTTTGCTTTTGCATATGACTCAACTTTCTCACCGACTTCGATGTGTTTTTCTCGTTATTTACTGGGACAAACATAAGAAAAGCATGAACCTAAAACTTAATTATGATTACAAGGTCAACGTTCAAAACAACAAATCCAAAACAACAGTTTAGAAAACTAGACATAATCATCCTCTAAATGTTGTTTTCTTTAGCAAAAAAAATATAAATAGGCAAGTAATGTTTTGTTGAGATTTTGTTTTTCAGTGGAAAAGCAGAATAGATCTCTTAGTTTCACAAACACAAACAACAAAACTTTAAGTTAAACAAAACAATATTGAAAATAAAAGCACTACCTGCACAGAAATTACCTGCTCTCCCGGGAAACCGTTTTAATTTTTAAACTCTGGTACATAATATAAGCAAGATATTTATTTGCATGCGTGTAGGTGCATCGTCGTCTGATGAATTTCCACACAACCAACTATGACCGCCGATCCTCACCGCGACGTCAAAATAGGCGTTTTGCCCGGATCAATACCAACCACTACGTTCAGTAACCCCTTCCGACGTTTTATTTTATTCAATGAAAAATGCCATTGATAACGAGGGAGACACCTCACCAATTCTAAATATAAGTACAAGTTCAAACCAATAATTGAAAAACTTCATCTACTAGCGTTTTTAAATCATCACGTAAACGAATAGGTAGGACGACATAGTTTGCCAAATTTGGAAACGGGTAGAAACTCTTCAAACTGGTCTGTCAACCGCAACTTCACTATCGCAAAAAAAAACGAGATAGTCAGATAGATATGTCGTTTCCTCTACAAGGATTTAGCAATAATTTTCGAAAATAAAAATTATGCTAATATCATTTTTAGTTCAAGATACAATGAAGGAGCACAATGTTTAACAGAAGAGCCAGCGACAAAGACCATACGCGAATATTTTACTTTACACGTTGCCGTATGGGTTGGCAGCCATCTTGTCCTTAACCGGCAAGATTTTGTCAGACCATCGCACCACTGCAACGAACGGTAACTGCGTTGAAATAACGAAAAACCAAACGCTATGGACTTTCATCAAACACAGTTTAACTCTTAATAAACGTAAAGTCTCCTTCAATTCGTCAAATAGTTGACCCAACCCTAACTCTTTTGTTCTGTAACCGGTTAATAGCCCCCATAAAAACTACAGGTAGTGACAGAAAACATATTAAACGGGCAATTTTCCTTGGTTATATTTTAAAATAATTAAGAGAAATGGGTTCAATACTCACATCGAAATTATCGGATTTTGCCCATATATTTCCATCGTGTCCTGCGATGGCGGCTTTTGTGACACAACGAGAAGCTAAAAGCTGTTTGTCAACGTAATCCTGCCAGCTCATTTTTTGCTAAAGTTTAATTAAATTCACGGCACACACGAAGCTAACACTAAAAAATTTAAAATATTTTTTTCGCCAGCAGTTGCTGCGGTATTACCAGCAAGAGCCGAATACGCCGAATACACTTGTCTAGCAGAGCAGGATTCGAGAACGGAAGCGAGTGTTGACAACCTAACGTGACTGAGACGGCGCAACGGGGAATTTCCATCGTTGCCAACTGTAACTGGGCGCGGTCTATTTCGAATTCTGAAAGTAACGTACGTTGTGTTTTTCGTTCAAAGTATGGCATTCCAAAAACTACTATTTTTTTTTAATTTAAAAGATTTTATAAATAGTAATTACAAGTAGCACGAGACGGCACCCAAATTCGCTTCTATAAGATTGAAGTGAAATTGTCTGTTTTAAAGATTAAAATTTTGTCTGGCGATCAAAATATTTGTTTTCATTTGGTTTGGTTTTTCAAAATATTAATACTTTAGGATAATGTTTCCCTTTCCAAACATTAACGTGTTGTTTCACACAGGAAACAGTGTTTTTTTTTCTACAATCGGAGGTTTAATTACTAATCGGCAATACTCATAAATAACTTATTGGAAATTGAGAAACATCACCTATAGTGCGGAGGTAACCGTAAGCAAAATGCAAAATTGCTAAAACGTATACGTACCTACTAAAATTATTCAAAATAATTGAAGAATTTTCCCCTTTTTTGAAAATCTTTAATTTAAGATTAGTTTTCTTGCATACACTATTCATTCGACATATTCCTATGGTTATTTCTCGAATATCAACAAACACCAAAAAATATTTAATTTATTTTAGGTGGTGGTCACAAAATAAAATCACATCTAAATTACATACGTCAATATAATGAATTCACTGGAAAATTTTTAAAAAACCTTTTTCATCTATTATCGTATTTTAAAAAAGTTCTTTAATAGCAAGTTTTATCGAAATTTTCCATGATTTGACAACGATGTTTATTTTAATATCATGAGGCGTAAATTAAAAGAGCATTAAAAAAAAGAATGTCACGGGTATTTAAAAACAAGTTTAGGTATCATTATAATCTAGTGAATCTAATGAAAATAATACGCGGTTAACACTAGAGCACAATTTTGAAAATTCAATTCTAGATAAAAATATAGCTTTTTTTTTTTCAAAATAAGAAATGTGATCACCGTTACACCGAATCTGGTGACTCAACGGTTAAAAATATCTAATCGATAAAATATTAATCAATCCAAAACCTTGCGCTTTCGCCGAAATTTGACTTTGAATGTAGCAAATACAATAATATTCACTGGTTATGCGGCATTATCAACTCAATTATTTTCAACAATTTATTATAATAATACTTCAACTTGTCTATTTTAAATGCTTAACTTCTCCTCCACGACATTTATTATTTTCGGCAAAGTTATAGTGTTGCATATAGCTCTGCAACAGAAGTGAAAGCAATAAAATACCAGTAAGACCTTTCAAGTTCAAGGCCGTTTTGAGGAGCCTTGCAGGAATAAATACAAGCAAACCATTTGCCAATGTGTTTTTAAAAAAGAAAATATCCAAAGGACCCACTAGCTTTGCTTTTTTAAGGATAATTTAAAAGATCGTTATCGCCGATATATTAACGAACGATATGCCGATTCAAGCAAATCATTTTAACTTTATAATGCAAAAATGTGTGAATCCAATTTTGATACTATTGGTGCAAAAATTTCAGCAGGGTTTCTTTTTTTATTGCTTGTAGGACGAACGCCATCGACCCCGTGAGTTATTAAACAAATTATGAAGCAATTGCTTTAAATCAACTTATTTCATATTTCCAATTTGCTCAATTTTCTTCTTTTATAAATTTTTTGGAATAAAAATTCTTAATATTGAAAATTAATTAACCACATCTGAAAACCAACATTGAGTATATGTTAGTTAATAAATGCTATTAAATATAAGGTTGTGAAGAGGAAGCCAGCAAGAAAATCATATATAAACGACGATTTATTTATGCTTAAAAATATGAAAATAAATTAAAATTGTTCGGGAGTGTCGGATTTACGGAAATTATTGGGATCAGACAATCAAAGCCAATGGATTGTTATTAATGTGGAAATTAGATCTTTATTTCCAAAATATGGCAGCCACGCTATAACTCATTGCCTGAAATCAAAGAAAAACAAATTAGTTGTCGAAAATGTACACAACTTCTAAAATTTCTTATAAACTGCAGCATTCTTTTATTAATTTAAAAAAGGGAATAGAGAATCTGAGAAATCCACTGCATGTTTTTCATCATTCATCACTCATTAGTTTCATTATATATTAGTGAATGAGTCACAGAAACTTCACCCATTATTATCTTAAGTGGAAATGATGACAATTGGCATAAAATTCATTCTAAACTTAGGTTTGAATAAATTTTTTCTTTCCTTGTGTAAAATATGCTAAGCGTGGGGTTTGATTTTTCGCAAAGAACTAGAGCAGTTTGGTCTTGTTCAAAATGAAATATATAAAATAGTTGGAAATTGAATTCGAATTTTTACAATTCAATTTTTTAAAATTGAAACTGTACCTTCAATAAAACAACCAACTAACTAAAACATCGCTCACCCGCCAAATTTTTCTATAGCGAACAATTTTCTTTATTAAACTTGGGAGGGTAAGAGGATTCAAAACAAGAAATTGTATGATTACATGAACAGTCCTTGCAAATAAACATTTTAAAAATATTTAAAAAGACTATACACTTGCTAAGTTTTTTTGGACTAATTGAACAGCAGCTAAATACTAGGCTGATATAACCTGGACAATTTAAATTACAAACACCGAAATCTTTCTTCAATTATTGGCTGAAAATGAAAAATTTAATTACAGCCTCCAGACAAAAAGGTGCAAAACTCAACATTAAACAAAGCTGCAAGCCCATTAGTTTAGTTAAAGCGGCGAAATAAAGAAATTTATTGCTGAGTAAATAATAAAATGAGAGATTTTTTTTGTTTACAAAAAATGTTGCTTAAAATCATCATACTTTGTGTAAAATAATATTGGAAAATAAAGTTTTAGTCCCTCAGAAAGAAGAGAAATGAAAAAGTCAAGTACTGTTTTCAGAATTTTATTTTAATAGTATAATACAAAATATTAACACTGAGTGAGGAAAATTTCCTTCTACATCGTTTATGATTAAAATAACCTTTCCAAAAACCAACTAAATCTTTTCTAAGGCAAACACGCCTAATGGATAAGCCCAAAAGTTCCATAGGGAACCTACCCCTGAGGGGGATTTTCATTCAACTGTAGGGTTTGAATATAATTAACTATAACTATACATAAAAATAACTGATAGAAAAAAAACCGTTATATATATAAAATACACTTATATTAAAGAGTTTATATCGTGTGTCAAGCGCAAAACACGTCGCTGGCCTAAAGAGACGAGATGGCGCACAATATTCAGAAAAGATTATTCGCAGCTAATACTCACACCAAATGTAACTTCAGGCAAGGCCGGCTAGCACTCTCCGGCTCGATATTTAAATAAGGTCCGCCACATTCATTGGCATTTCATCTATTTTTGTATTGTAAAACTGCTCTATGTCGTGCAGAGTACGCTTGTCATCTTCTGTAACGAAATTTATAGCTACACCCTTACGACCAAAACGACCACCTCGACCAATCCTGCAACAATATCAAAAAACAGCGGATTAGCTCGCGAAATAGCAAGCACTTTTACTTTTGTTTGTTTATTCGCCTCAGACACAGAAATGATTATAATCACATTTTTCAGCGATCTTGGTGGAAATAAATATCATCATTATAGAGATACCATATGAAAGGTAAAAGGAAAAACAATTTGGCCAAAGACACCTACTATTCTTCAATTGACAATTACTTTAAAAAAAATTATGGTACAAGGAGCAAAATAACTTAAAGTACAAGTGGGGACTAACAAGATATATGAATTTGAAGAGGTTGAGGTTATATGTATTTGGGAGTACTAACAACCAACAAATGTAAAGAAGACAAGGAAGTGGATCTACAGATAGCAAAATGTCTGTGGGGGCTCCACAAAATTCTTACGTCAAATGAGGTTTTGAGAGCAACAAAATTCTGACTCTACAAGACAGTCACCTGATCTCAATCACAAAAGCCAACAGAAATAAGAAAGGAAAGTATTAAAACAAATCTCTGGCGGGAAGAATACAGAGGATGGCTGGGAGAGAAGGATGAACTCTACGAACAATTTGGAGATAAGCCAATTGAAAAATTTGTTCAAGCAACGAGACTACAATGGCTAGGACATCTCACCAGGATGGAAAATAATAGAGAAGTAAAGGAAGTGGCATGGAAAAAAACAGAGGAAAGTAGGAAACGTGGTAGACCAAGAAGAGTTACAAAATAAGAAAACAGGATAATATTTCAAATTGTTAAAACATATTCAAAAATTTAACTTTTGAGCAAAATCATTGATCAAATCTTCACAAATGACTACACAAAAAACAGGCGACACAAATAAAACCATTTTATATCACTTATGGAGAAACTTTGACGAAACAGCACAATAATCAAAATGTTTTTACACTTACCTGTGTATATAATTTTCCCGATTCGATGGTAAATCATAATTTATAACTAAAGACACCTGTTGTACATCAATACCCCTAGCTAACAAATCCGTAGTTATTAAAACTCTAGATGATCCTGTCCGAAATTGTCTCATAATAACATCTCGTTCCCTCTGATCCATGTCACCATGCATGGCAGACACAGTGAAGTCTCTTTTGTGCATATTGTCAGTCAACTGATCAACCTTGCGACGTGTATTGCAGAAAATTACAGCTTGAGTAATCGACAATGTATCATACAAATCACACAGTGTATCCAGCTTCCAGTCTTCCTTTTCGACGAATATAAAGAACTGTTTAATACCTTCCAAAGTAAGTTCCTCTTTTTTGACCAAAATTCGGATTGGATTTCTCATGAAAGATTTAGTTACATCAAGCACATCAGACGGCATTGTGGCAGACAGCAAAATAACCTGCACATCCACATTCAATGTTTTAAATACATCATGAATTTGGTCTTTGAATCCCCTAGACAACATTTCATCAGCTTCATCTAACACAAACATTTTTATGTGACTTGTTCTAAGTGACCGTCTAGTAATCATATCATATACTCGACCAGGAGTTCCTAAAAGGAAAATAAAAAATATTAGTTCCATCGAGTAGCCTTCCTTGAAAACAGGATAGATATCTTATAAATAATCAACTCACCTACAACTACATGTACCCCAGTCTCTAATTTTCTCATATCTTCTCTAACATTGGTTCCACCGATGCAGGCATGGCATTGCGCAGACATAAAATCTCCCAAGGCAATGACTACTTTCTGAATTTGTTGGGCTAATTCACGAGTAGGTGCCAAAATAAGAGCTTGGCACTCCCTTACCGATGTATCAATTTGTTGGAGAATTGATATGGAAAATGTAGCTGTCTTTCCTGTTCCTGACTGAGCTTGGGCTATAACATCATGCCCTCTGACACAAGGTATTATGGCCCTCTGTTGAATTGCAGATGGTTTTTCGAAACCATAGGCATAAATTCCTCTTAAAAGCTCTTCTTTAAGATTCATATCATCAAAATTGTCAACAACTTCTTCCCAGTTAGATTCAATAACCCCATCAGGTTCCATTCCTGGAGGTCCATCATATCTCTCTGGTTCTTTATCTGAAGCCGGGCCATTTTTGTCCCAATCCTCAGGTCTAAAAGAGTAGTAAATGAATAACCTTCAAAAAAAATTTGTGACATATGTTATTATATCAGCGTCATTGTTACTGAAATCTACCAAAAATCCTTCAATTTCCAACTTTCCCTTTCAATTTGAAAACAAAATTATATAATTTTATAAAACCCCAGATTTTTCAAAATGACAAAGTCACTTTTGGAGGTTATGGACACTTTGTATGCTTCTCACAAAAAGCGAATCCTATTATAAATACAGATGCCATAATAAGGATTTATTAATTAAGCAAAAGTATGGTAGCAATTTTTCGTTAGTATTGGGAAAAAAACATACGCCATGTTGGCACTCAAAAGTTGCAGCACGCCGAAAAATATGACAATTTAGGGAAAGTGTAAAATTGGAAATATCTATTTTGCTTCATAAAAATGCACATAGGATTAGCGCACATGTTGACAAAAATATAAAGTAAAATCCTACTAAAATAACATGGAAAATTAAAAACTTACCTCCTTTCGTGCACAGACATGATTCACTCAGCTTTTTGCTAAACGGAAAAGGCTGCCGAAGACGGGTGCAAGGCGTTATATTCCTACGCGCGCACGGAATACAAATGCAACCATGCCATCTGTTACTGAAAATATTTCAAATCCAATTTTTGCAGGTAGAAATATAATCGAATGTGGCCCACCAAGCCGTTTTTCTAAATTATAATTATTTACATATAAATTTTAAATTATTTGAGTGACTATTTTCGTTGCGTCGTAAAAATACTACGCTACTCCCGGAAATGGCTGTTTTTGACACTTTATCCGTTCCCGCTAAAATTTGAGTTTTGTAAATTTTATAAGGACTCAATTTTTAAAAACAACTACGATATAATGCACCATACAAACAGTTATCGAAATATTTTTGCGAGTATGAAATATTTGAAGGCAAACAGAGAGATTTAGTTAAATAAATTCGATTAACCTTGGGGTATTCTGCCTTAAACATCCCAATTCGATTAATAATTTTATAAGTATAAATGTGGTTTGAAAAATGTTTATGACATTCTATAAGCCTTTGGTCCAATTTTCCGGAACCAAGGAGCTAAATTTTGCTATTCAATTGCATCAACAACTTCTTTGTTATTTGCACGTTAAGGTGTTCACCAATAGAATCCTTAAAATAAATTAGGACCTTCGTTTTAACCGTTTCACCTTAACACTTGGTGCTTATTACTTAGCATGTAGCTGTGTCTTGGGATTATTCCATAGATTATTCCAAAGACCTATTTATTCCACACCATAGTACATTTAAAGTTTTTAGGTCATGCGTCATGGAAAAACCTTAAATACTAAAACCGCACTGTTTCTTTTATTTAAGTCTGGGCTATTGTGGTTGACTGTTCTATTTCACAATTAGCAACAATTAGATTGTTTCTGGTGAATAAGTAAGTTCGGCTACTGTTACATATTACGTAAGCTGTTTTTTTTTTTATAAACTTCTAGTCTGTTCTCTTTAATACCTGCCCAGCAAGGCACTGGGGGCCTACAGAATCTGGTGCGCCTTAGGCACCTCACAGACCATACGATTTACCGGAAGGCAGGCCTTTCGTTCATCAGTTTCGTTTCCCGTGACTCCGAGCCACTTCGGACATTTCCGGGATTTTACCGCACGGATTTGGGAGCAATCGGATGTTTTCGGAGATATTTCCCACGCTTTGAATTTTGATGTTTGTCAATTCTAATGGTCATGTCAGTGAATGTATTTGTGTTGTTTTGCGAAAATGTACCTAAAAACCAACGGTCATAGAAAAAGTATAGTATGCAACACGTTCGGTAAACTTTTTAACTCACTCGTTTATTAAAAACTCGCTCCGCTCGTGCCAAATAAACTCGTGAGTCAAATGCCGTTTACCGCACTTGTTGCATAATATGCTATTAAAATTAGATCCATCCAATTAATTGGTGAAAAAATTAAAAGCAATAAATCCAGCAGATACAAAAGATACGGTGGTCAAAAAAAAAAAACAATATACGTAGTTCATACCTTAAAGAATTAAAAAAAAGGAACTCCAAAGAAGGGGTGCATCTTATATGATCATAAAGTACTGAGAAAAAGCAAGTCCAATATAGAGGATATAGAAGTTAGTGAATGTGATGAGGTAAGTATTCATTGTAAAATATTTTTTTAACTACAAGTTAACAATATTTATAAATAACCATAAAAAAAAACCGAGACCCTTATTTTTAACACGTTTTTATTAGCTTCACTTATTTGTATGTATGTTTGTAACTGACTCCTTTGGATTCGGTTTTGACACCCATTTATAGTTCTGGTAGCAACCCAATATTATTTAATTACTAAGTTGTCTCCTCCCCCTCCGCCAAGGGTTATGGCGGGGAGTATTATTAAAATTCGTTCGATTTCGTTCAAAATTGGTATGTGGGGGATTACAAATTTTGAATCAGATTTGAAGAATTAAATATGGCGGATTTAAAATGATCGACTTGGGCAAAATCTAAAAAGTCCGTTTTGACCGACTTCTACTTGTCCGATCGACTTGAAATTTGGTACTTGTTTATAGTTCCAGAGATAATAGAATATTATGAATTACTAAGTTTCTATCAGCCCTTATGCCACGTGAGGAGGGGAGGGGGGTGCTACTCAAGTTTATTCGATTTCGTTTAAAATTGGTCACTACTAGACTTGTAGTGTAATATTCTGGTGACAATATAATGAATATGAATAATTTTTTACTTACAAATCAAAATGGATAATCGCGGATCCAAAATGGCGGATGTTTCTTTTTATAAATCGATATGCATCAAATTTCGAATCTTGAGGGGCTTGAGGCAGTTAATTAAAATTTTGAAATCAAGTTTTAACAAAATCAAAATGGCGGATCCAAAATGCGGGAGTTTCCGATTTATGAACTGGTATGCATCAAATTGTTTGTAAACACGATCATGTGCTAAGAATATTCTATGATCTCTAGCACTTAGGAATATTCCTAGATGCCCAGGATCGCCTATACTCAGGTGTTTTCATGTGATATAGACATTCTTGTCATGTGCTTGTAACGTGCCCTTCGCATTCTTGCCATATACCTTCCGAAAATAATATACCTGTCATATGACTATAATATGCTTCCTATTCACATTCTTTCTGGAACATTCTTGGAATATTAAAATTCTCCTTGGGGACATGCCAAGAATGTTCAAAGTGGAATATTCCGAAAGTAATATACCTTCAATCTGACTAGAAAATACTTTTTAATCTTCTATTCACATTCGTTTAAGAATATTCTTGTCACATAAACGGGCAAGACCCCTTGTGATACGGACGCCTTAATCGAGATGGAAAAAACTAGTACTCATAAATTAAATATAGATTGAGTTGTTTATTTCAAAATTAAAAAAACATGCTTTTAACGGACTAAAAAGTAGAAAATAATATAATTCACTTAAAATTGGTGGGGCGATAAAAAGTTCTTTGAGAAGAATGTATCAATACTGGCCATGCGCTTCACGCTTTTTGTTAAGAATTTTAAGTTAATTATATTATTTAGTTATTTTTAAAAAAATGAAGAAATAATTTGCGCACTTGTTTAGCTTCTTCAGGAAAGCGCCTAATTCTATGACCTTTTTGTAATGGACGTCAGCACATCTTGATCTGTCGAAGTATCATCTTCAGGTCCGAATATATTCATATAGCTATTTTGATTTTTGTTACTCAAATAATTGTGTAATACACATGTAGCCAGTACTGCAGTTTATATATTTTCTACTGAAATTATTATTTCGGTGTGTTATATACGAAACCGATTTGCTGGAATTCTAAATACGCTTTCAATCATTCTTCTTGCGCTGTTCAAACGTTTGTTAAAGTTGTTTTAAAACCTTACAGTTCCGCTGTAAGGCTTTAAAAAATCTTTTTTAAGAGCGAAAGCTTCATCATTCAGACATACGGTAGATTATTACGTAGATTAACTTCTGAAATGTTAAGTTTTCCTCTTATTAAGGCCCTATAGAAAGGTATATTATTAATAATACCTTCGTCAGATATTCGTCCGTTTGTGCCGACATCAAACATGATAAACTCATAAATACTATTTGCAATGCCCACAAGTACAATACTGTGAAACTGCTTATAATTGTAATAGTATGGGTATTTTATAAAAATCGACCACCTAGATAAAAATTATTCTTTCAATAAGACAATTTAGCTGAAGCTAAACACCTCAATGTTATGGCCCAACCTACGTTAATTGGCATAACATGCGTAAAATATTTTTTTGAGGTAGATATTTTTCAAAGAAACTGCCGCAGGCTATTATTTAATACTATTTACAAATCTTCAACATCGGTTGTTGATAAATCGAATTGGCTGACGTTTCGCCCATCATCTTGCTGACTTTTTGTGACACTGGTTCGCATTCTACTCTGTACCCGCATATGTTTGACGGGGGCGGAGCTAAAGGCCGGACATGAACATTGTCTCGGATGAGTGATCCCTTGATTCCCATTTTGGTGAAAGGTAAAGATCCGAGTAGCGGTTATGATTGTTGGGTTGTTTAGAGAATTCTATTGATTCTGGGATTTTTTTTTTCATGATTGGTTAAGTAATTCTAGTTTTCTTTTCTTATTTTTGGCCAGCATATAATAAAAAGAGCGCCAAAAACTATTCCCGCATTTGTTCTGGGACTTTTCAATTTTTTTTTTTAAGTTTCTGTTTATTTCACCAATACTTAAGTTTTAGTACACCTTGATACTGAGTGAGGATGCCATTTTAATATCCACCAAGCAGTTAAATTTTCAGGTACCAACCGAATTGTGAAAATATTTTATTTAATGATTTAAGTATTTTATAAGTTTCGTTAGATATGCTCGATTTGAATAACATGACACATTCGATATATTTTTATTTTTTTTTTAAATATAGCCACAAAAATATATTCACTTAGGTAACAATTCAATGCTACTGTCTAATATAACAAGTTACTTATTATCACATTCACAGCGCCATTTTACAATAATTTGTTTTATAAATATGTACATTGAAAATTACAGTGATGGTTTAAGTATATACGTTCATTATAGTCCTGAACGTATATTTTGTATTAGGGATTGTGTAGGTACGTTCATTTTTTTAAAAAGACAAGTTATGTAATACATTTCCCGATTATAGTTGGCAAATGTTGATACAATTTATTTCATTGTATATAAATTTTATTTAAATATTTAATCATTAAAAAACATCAATTTCTTTAAATTTTAGTAAAGCTATTAACGTCACTGATTAACTGAGTTAAACTTCGCATTCTGGTTGGAAAATGCAGTTAATATAAAACGAATCAAGGCAATGAGAAATATAATGATGTCGCATAAAAAGGGTTTCAACTTTGGATTTATTCGACAAAACCATTTTATCATTTACCATTTCCGACAGCATAAAGCTCTGCCTTAAAATGTCTCATCATTATTTTAGTAATCGTTTGCCATTGAGAGACTATTTTACGGTGAGACTTGTCATAAACACAATTTTGTGAAAATTTTAACTAAATTTAGTTTTAGTCTCTTTAAAACTCCTAATGAATGAAAAAAAAAGTCTGAAATAATACAGCAATTTGATAAATGTAAATGATATGCTTATGTGCTTTTCACTTGCCCGTGTTGATAAAGCAGGAATTTAGCAATTGAAATTATTTTTAAAATTAACGCAAATAGTTCATATAAATTCTCTAAAATATTTAATTAAGCCATAATATTTTAATTTAAATGTTAGCGTATGTTGGTAACGCAACCATTACATTTTTTAAAATAAAAGTATGCCTTCCTCTACCTTTTCAAAATCAATATAAAAACAAAAAACTATACTTGGTTACTTCTCTTTTTTATGAGCAGGGTGTTAATTGGTCATCTTTTCTACAGGGCACAAGTAAAATCGTAAATCCAAGAGATGTCCTGAACGTCCATTACACCCTGTATTTTTAATTAAAATCTGAAAGCTCTATAAATATGTTTATATTATCTTCAGATTAACACAATTTTAAGTGCAAATCTATCTAAGGATAATGTTAACATATTATCTATACATGTACATACGTTTTTTCCAATTAACAAAAAATTTTCTTTGTATTTAAAATTTTTAACACCCTGTAGATTGTTAGACGAATTTTCGTATAATTTGTATAAACACATTAAAAGAGAAAATCATAAAATTCACTTAGTGGTGTATACCGAAGAAAAATCGAAAATTACCTCAAAAACTAGATGCCACATCAAAAATTATCAATATTTAATCTTCGTGAAATTAAACGATGTTTTTTTTACTGTTTAAATATTCATTTTTCAAAATTTAACAAGCTGTGTCTATATTTATATAAACTTTTTCTTGTTTATTTTAAAAATACTGCTCTGTATAATTTTTCAAATAAACTTCTAGAGGCTGCTGTAATACTACTTACACATCTTCTGGATTCCTCCTGCGTCGGTTTTTGATAAATCAAACTTGCTGACTTTTCGCCAATCATCCTGTTGGATTCTTCAGAGCTGAACTGACCTAACAGGATAATTGGCGAAACGTCAGCAAATTTGATTTATCAAAACAGACGCGGGAAGAATCCAAAAGATGTATAAATAGTACCACCCTGTATATTTGCTATAATCTTTGTGTATACCCATTGTAGTTATAGAAACATCAAATTGATTATCATTAATTGAAAATAATATATTTTTTAGATTTATTTTGATTCATGCTCACAAAACACACGGATCATTTTAAGACTAGCTAAAAACCTGCGAGACCATCAATAGCTGCAAATAAACCTAAACATTTCCAATATTAACTGATCAAAATGACTAGAAATGCACAAAAATTGGAATAAAGCTTATGCAAAAGCAAATGTTAAAAAGTGACACAGTAAAACTGCCGATTTGATTTATGGCGCTACTTTAGAACAACGACATCAGTTTCAGTCATCACTCTTTTTGCCCGTTTAGATCACTACACCAAAACGATACTACCGATAGAGCTATTTATTTCCTCCTCGTATCCGCTTTCATCACTGTAAGAACTCCGAAACTCTTCGTCGTCGTTATTGGTGTGCTCCTCATTTTGCACAATACTGTATACAAACAGGTCCTTATTTCCTTCCGAAACGCTCCTTTTCTTGTATACCTTAAGAGAGCTGAAATCTGATGAACTTTCGCCCACCGGAACTAACGACACTTCTTCGTGGCCCAGTACAGTTTTGCTGTTGTATGCACTGTGTTTTAGCAAGTCTACGCTATGTACTTTCTCGAAACTGCACACCCTAGGAAGCACACTACCGCCCACCTTAAAGTCCAATTCAGCCTTTTTATCCGGTTGTTCTGCATACATCTGAGGGCACGACATTCCCGGTTCAGATTCGGAAGTTGTAGTCGAAGATGATTCGCACCCACTCGAAAGTGATCCCCCATCGTGTTCCATTGGTATAAGATCGGGTTTTTCGCCTAAGGCGGTGTACCATGCTCTTTCACAACTTTCCAACAGATCGTTTCTTAACGAGCTCTGAACCAGTTCTTCCAAAATCAAATCGCTTTTTTCATCCAGCGTCAAGATGTTCTCGGTGTCTTCGTTGAATTTTACTTTTGTTTGTTTGTGATAGACTTGTTCTGGTTTGCAGGCGACTTCGTTTTCCGTATCTTTGACAGCGTACGTGTTTCTTCTTTCTAACAAACTCGTGCTTCTGTCGTAGTATTTCAAAATATTCTTGAATATTTGATGCGAGCTTTGGAATACGTCCTCTTCCTCGTAAATTTCTTCTATGCTTGAGAGTTTAGGTGCCGACTTTGATCTTTCCAGTGGAGGTCTGCAAAGAAATGATTTTGAAAAATGTTGCATGCATCTTTTCAATTTATCTCATTCAACAGTAATAATTTTTCATTTAAAATATACTTTTTCTTAGTTATTTTGTTTATTATTTGTGTGTAAATTAAATAGAACGAACCTGTTCGTTTTTGATAAATTAAGAAAAAATCTGCCCTCTCCCCCACCCTCCATTTTCTTTATCTTTTTATTTTGGATTTTTTATGAGACTTTGTGGTATAGAAAATACGATATGCATCTTATATGAACTTGTCATTTTAAATTATAGAAATAACATTTTAGCAAGCGTAGCCAATTCACTGGTAACAAAATTAATTCAATTTAATTAATATTCTAATTGTTATAAGATATGCGACACTCAATTCAATTCATACAAACTTTGATCGTTTGTAGCAAAGTTGAATTTTAAAGTATTGATTATTTTTGGTTAATTTAGTCCGGCTTACCTATTTTTATTTTAAATGAGACAAATCACTTTTTAAAACACTCGTCAAATAGTTTCTCAAGTCAAAAGTTGCATTCGGGTGATCAGTGATAAAACAGTTTTGAAATTGAGAAAATTACGACTAGTTTTCAAAGTATATAAAGAAAACGAAAATGGGCTATTTATTTTTTTCTAAAATTAGTAATCATTAGGATGTGATCTATATCTGGGCTCGTACATATCAAAGGCTGAGCCTCCTTTAAATATAATGTTTTATTATAATTTTCATTTATTTCAAATGCCGGCCTGCTTCTTCTAATTTTTGGAAGGATCATGGTTTTTATCTAATCCACCAGCACATTGTATAATTTATCACACAAAACAAAATAAAGGAGAAGATTGACGAGAACTAGGGGTAAATAACTAAAAAATGACATTCGTGCATAAAGCGTCGTGTACCTACCTATAATTCTGTGATCCCGTACTCAGTAAAATTTTCCTCCTAGGAATTGTGGGATTTTCGTAAACCGAATTCACCAGACTTAGCCTGGCGTTCTGCCTGGATATCTTGTCTTTCTTAAATTCCGCTAATGCCAGCGCAAGAGATTCCCTGAGTTCCTTTTCGATTTGCAATGCGACATCTCCCGATGGACACAATACAGCATGGCATCTAAGTTCGTGCCTTAAACGACGCCCTTCGTGTCTGTACACCCAACAAAATATTCTCGGAAATTGGGCAGGTGCTGCGCAGGTAGTTAACCGATTCGCCCAATATTCAGTCAGGCCGTGGTCCTTAGTCGTGGCCTTGAGTCCTCCGCCGGAAACGGTAAGTTGCATGCGTACATCTGGTCTAGAAGATTGGGTGTAATTGCGCCACAGCGTCGCTAGTGGTTTTTCAACGCATCCTTCACCTGAAATGCAGTATGGATTATAATTACGTTGAAGCTTGACATGAAAGCGACTAACTAAATCACTAAAACAAGCTTTCAAAATGAAGAATGTAATTTAGTACTTTAATATTATATTATGCTATAAATTTTATAAGCTACACTTTAGATACGAGTTCGTTTAGATACAAGCGGAGCGAGTTTTTAATAAAAAAGTGTCTGAATAAGTTCACATACGTGTTTCATACTATACTTTTCCTACGACTGTCACATTTTTGCAAAACAACAGCGAATATATTTACTGAGTGACACGATAAAAGGACAAGTGCCAAATTACGTTCGCTTTCCATTATTTGGCATATACAAAAAATTGAAAGGAAACTATACAGTCTCTGCTACAAAAATTTACCTTCAAAGTAACCAGAACTGACTCCAATATGTAACGACCATATAGAGACTCCTTTGGTTTGACGAAATTAGATGCTGTCGATGCATTAGATGCCTTTCAAAAGAAAAAAAAAGAAACTAGTCAAATAAAAATATTTTTCTATTCCGTATATAAAATGCCTAATTACACACCGATCTAGCGTGCGGGAAGCGTCACTTTACCACGCCAGTTTTTCCCCGGATCCGAGTTACTTCGGACATTTCCGGGATTTTACTGCACGGGTTTGGGAGCAATCGGATGTTTTCGGAGATATTTCCCACGCTTTGAATTTTGATGTTTGTCAATTCTGACGGTCATGTCAGTGAATGTATTCGTGTTTTGTGAAAATGTACCCAAAAACTAACGGTCGTAGAAAAAGTATAGTATGCAACACGTGCGGTAAACTTTTTTTTTACTCTCGTCTGTAAAATACCTAATTACCCACCGATCTAGCGTGCGGGAAGCGTCACTCTACCACGTCAGTCGAGCCATTTCGGACATTTCCGGGATTTTACCGCACGGATTTGGGAGCGATCGGATGTTTTCGGAGATATTTCCCACATTTTGAATTTTGAGGTTTGTCAATTCTGACGGTCATGTCGGCGAATGTATTCATGTTGTTTTGCGAAAATGTACCCAATAAGTAACGGTCGTAGGAAAAGTATAGTATGCAACACGTTCGGTAAACTTTTTAAGTCACTCGTTTATTAAACACTCGCTCCGCTCGTGTCAAATAAACTCGTGAGTCAAATGCCGTTTACCGCACTGTTGCATATTATTTGGCCGTAGGCGTTAAACTCGGTTAACAAGGGAAAATGTTATTTCACATGAAGTGTGTACGCTTCAAACAAGAGATAAAGTAAAGCAACGCCAAAATAATAGATGTAATATACCCCTGCATTCCCAGAATCTGTGCACATGATTGCCAACAGCAGGATCATCTGATAGACACGTTTCAATCGATGATTACAACTTTGAGCAAGTAAAACGATTCAAATAGGACTATTAAGAAAGACAATGACATCACAAAAGATATAAATAATAGGAACCAAGCTGAAAACAGATGCCTCTTTGCTCTTCAAAGATTTCATGAAATCAAAGGAACTTACCAGAAAAACTAAACTAGGCGTCATAATCGGAAACCATTTAAAAGATCATCATAATAATCATAAAACCTATAGTAATATACGATGACTAAACATATTGCTCAGAGAAATATTCTGCCCAAATAGGGAAAAAGAAACAGAAGAAAACGGAATAAAAACTAACCAGGAACTCAACAGACTGTATACAGATTACAGAGAGTAAATATAATAAACGAAGTAAAGGCTAGGAGATTACACAATTATACAGCGTTATATAGTAACATACAAAAATAACCACAAATTGGTGGCGGGGCGGAAATACAGGGTGTCCCATTTAAAATATTAAAGTTGATGCTGCTATCCAACCAGTGCGTGGATTATTCGTTTTCAAATATTCACAAAATTTTCAAACGTTTGTACAAGCAAATGCGATGCCGGAGTAATTTTTTATTGGTGGTGCCGAGGCAAATTAAGTTATTAGGAAAATAAGCAAGAAAAAGTTTTTTTTTAAGTTGTGGGTATAAAAGTCATCCGTACCTATAATTATTCTCCGTATGTCGAACAAACGTAATCGCTGATAATTATTTAGTTGTCACGGAAACTAATATGACGAGTAAACGTTTTGTTTACACCCTCATTAATAATTTTTTGATAAATAAACTGTCCGGCAGAAAAATATATCGTCAGTAAAATTTAATTTTCGAATAATAAACGGCCAAAAAAAGGCGAGGCCAACCTCCGACCGAAAATAACCGTTAAAATTTAAAATGTTGTGGTCTAATAATATCTGGCGTAATTACCACACAGTTTTAATTAAAATGACAATTTCGACGCGTTGCTCTACCTACGCCAATTACTGACATCTACGTTGTTCTTATTACTTTGACTTTGTGACGTACAAACGGAAGTCGTGTTACAATTCCAGGACGTGTAATGCGTTTAATGAGAGAAATTATTCAATGCAACTCAGTCTTGCATACGGTAACACAAAAATTTTAAATAAAATATGCCGAGTCACAGAAACGTACAAATTGACCTTTTTGATAAATTAACTGGAAAATGTTTGGAATATATTGAAAATCGGTCATATTAGGCACTAGCCTAAACTTTGTGAAAGGTACGAAACAAGCTACGAATAAAACGATTTTATCTTAATTTCATTTAAGCTGAAATTCCAAATAACACTTTCTCTGATATTGTAGAAAAAACTAGTTATGGTAACGCCACCTACTTACAAGATTTATGTTTTCTGTGGTAAAGCAAGCGTTAATAGGTACTCTCGATAATATTCATTATATGTAATTCATGTTTTGGGTGAATTGTTTGCTTCAAAGTGTTTTCTAAGCTGAATTATTTTTTTAACAGCATATAGATTTCTTTTACACATCATATCAGCAATCATAAACAAAGAATTCGAAAAATTTATCTGTGAAATTTTATAACATAAAGTCTATTCATAGATATAAGAAAGTGACTAACTAACTGATACGAATTAAGGAAAGACCCGGGCAAGCGGTAAGAATGAAATATGGCCGAACAGGTCCGTATTTTGCTTAGAATTTATTTATTTGGGGTTTTGTTAGGAAAGATACTAAACAATGTTTATTTATTTATGTATGTATTTATGTTTAAATCTAATATAAAATTAGAAATTATTTTTATTACCTACTTAAATTACTTAAAATTGTTCACATAATATATCAGTATCACTATCTCTATCATCGCCTGTTCTAATTATTATTTGTTCTATATTATTTGCAATATGGATATACGATTGTTAAGATTTTTCTATATGTTTAACAGAATTTACCCAACTTTGTGCAGGGATGTTAAAAACTTCGGTTTCTATAAGTTTGAGGACATTGGAGTTAACACGGGGAAAAACATTGTTACGACGAATGGCAGATTTCAGTTGGTGCCAAACATGCTCAATGGGATTAAATATACAGTGGTAAGGTGGAAGGAAGCCTTAAAACTGTATGCCCTAGACCTTTTGCATAATTATCACATCCTTTTGTAGGTTCAAGCTTTGTAGAACCTCAATTAATTGCTTTTTGGTGTAATCTTCGTGAAAATAAATGTCGTTATTATACATGTAGTTTTGGATTGATGCTTTGGAGTCATATGAGGAAGGGGTTTTAGTCAACTGTCTACTGTCATAACTTGCATTGCCCATTACAATTACGCTATTAGGAGAGATGTTTGGAATTAGTTTGTTTTTAAACCATTTTTCAAATAAATCAGCAGTGGTGTCTTCATGGTAATCCAGAGAATCTTTAATATTAAATTAAATTAAATAAAATAGTTATCCTTTTACCTCTTTTTGATGGTACGTTTATTTTACACTTATCAGTTGAGTCAACCGAACCCTTTTCCGGGGTATCATAAGTGTCGAACCAGGTTTCATCCATGTAAATAATTGGCCTTTGTTGTTCTCTGTAAATCCTATTTTTTTCTAGATATTCCAGTGGCTATTTTCGAATTCTAAAAGATTCCATTAAAACTTGCCTTTTGTCAATTTTTTTAAATCTAAAACCCATGTGTTGAATACACTTCCATAAGTTAGTTCTGCCACATTTAACACCGGTGTCATCTTTTTCAAGCGTCCTAATTGAGATATCCAATGTAGGCACGCTTTGTTCCTCGTATAACTGGTAAATTTTACGCCGTATTATATCTTGATCACTTTCATCTACACTCGAGAAAATGTCAGCATCCCTTCTTTTTTTCCTCCCTGAAATGGCATTATTCATAATTTTCCATACAGTTGATGTTGGAATTTTCGTCAATGTGTTTCTTCTAAAGATGCTTGCTTGTTGGCACCACGTTCAATGAGAGTCAAATAAACATTGTTTATAACTTCTTTAGTCTCAATACAATAGTGTTTTCTACATTTGGGAGGGATCATCTCCTGAGATACACTAGACTCTCACATATTTTGCATAATTCGCACACGATTCAACACACGCTGTATTACACACGAAATAAGGATGATTACTAATAAACTTAGACTAAGCAGTACACCAAACCAAAGAATATTAAACACGAAACTTTAGGTAATAATCTTGTTGCATTGTATGTTAATGACCACCCTTGGATAATCCCATTCAAAAGCAATTGGTCACTTTCTTATATCTATGAACAGACCATACCTTTAAACATAAAATTAAGTAACAACATGTTAATTATTTGGTAATCAAACCAGCAAGAGACATAATGAACCATTATAGAGTTGTTCAACTGCGAATCCGAATTAACGTCTTTTCGAATATTTGAACGACTAGATACCGTAAAACCGTAGTCAAAGCAAGGAATGCATTCACCCGTCTTTTGCAATAACCATTCAAGGTTGTTCATATTATTCATGTACAACAGTATTGTTTTTATAAGTTCACCTTTGCCCCCACCTGTTCAGTAAATTTTTTTAAACGAAGTCAGGTAATTCAATAATTTCGTCATATTCGTAACTCCCAACAATTTATTTAAGTAGATTCTTAATATATTAAATATACGGAGTGTATCCAGTAGGTAAATGTCAAGCGTTCGAGTAACGAACTGAAAAATATGTATTATGTTTTTGGACGTTATGTCACTGTCAGACGCTGATCGAAGTCTAACAGACGAAGGTAATTCCCACGAATGTGACGGAGATTAGTTATAATTATTGAGGTGTTATAGTTGTGCGTACCTGATAAGCTGGATAGCAATAGTCTAACACAAAATTAAATATGCTTAATTTATTTAAAAACGTTCTTTTTTTTTATTTCCATTGCAGCTGAACAATTCGTTAGTTCGTTACTGAAGTTTGAGAAATTTTGACCTGGAAGAACAATGAGTTAGAGCTTATATTAGGAATTTGATTCATTTTTCAAAGAAACTTCCACTGTACTGTAATACTTTTTATAAAATTTCGTTGGATTTGTTGGGTCCAACTGGCCAACGTTTCATCAATCATCCTGTTGAATTCTTTAGAGCTTGACAGAAAGTCTTGCAGTTAACAAGTTCGGCTCAACAAAAACCGACGCAGGAGGAATCTAGAAGTTTTATAAAAAGAAGGAATTTCATTGCTTTATGATGCACCATGATCCACTTTTCGTAGATAAATTCGCTGAACAGTACACTGCTACATTTATGTAAATTGTTTTCGAAAACATTATCAGGAAGTGTGATCTAATGTAGGAGTATGGATATAATAAATTACAGCTCTAACACTTTGAAAAATAATTTTATGATTTCCACAATATTTTTTCGATATTATTGCTTTATTAGTGACTCCGAATTTGAAATATGATTGCTCTTATGATATCTTCTGTTCGGACCCATAACACCAATTATGGTTTCAGCTCGAAAGAACCAAATTGTTGTATTACATTACAGGAGAAAGAAAATTCTAGAAATTTTTATCAAATTAAAAAATATTTAAAATTATGTGCATAGTACCTAGTGGTTCGCATGGTACAGAAGGTATCCTCAGACATCGGGAGTTACTGGTTGTGCATTTTTGGACTTTTTAACGAAATGAAAGATATATGTGTACAAATTAGCCAATTATCTGAATGTCTCAAATTTTATAACTTGTTTATTCTATACCAGAAAGCATAATCGTTTTCTAGAAAATTTTATTGTTCTTGTACAAATTTGTAACTCACCTTTCGCCCAACCTGTTACGACGTTCCCTAAATAAGCAACCCTGTAGGTGGGATCTGGCCGGGAAATCGTCGCGCTTGCGTATTTCTTCAATCGCAACCTGTTCAGAAGATATTTGAACATTTTCCTCCCTCTATCCTTCTGTACGTTTTTACACGGCATTTCGCTGTTGAGTGCTTCGATGGAGGGGACTTTCTTCATTCGTTTCGTGTTCCCACTTGTCGCAGTGAAAACGGCACTGTCTACCGCGTCTTGGGCCATTTCAGTAAGACTAAAACCAACACGACCACGCCACTTTCTTAAACAACCTGCCGTAACAATGTCAAGCCGGATATTACGGCGAAAGAGAGAGCGACTTCCGGCGGATTTTAATTCACGGCAACCGTTTAGGGTACGTTGGTCTGATGAAAGTTATGAAATCTTTAACGGTGCGCACGTACAAGATGCTGCTTTATGGCCGGCGTTGCGAGAACGAAGTATCCCTGCAATACAAAAAAAGGATGTATTATCATGGATAAATAAAACAATGCGAGATCAAAAGATAATGGAATTTTAATTCTTTTACAAATAAATGTTTGTAGTGATATTGTTTAAGTCTCAAAATATGATTAGTCACTTAGTGCACAGAACGCGTTTCTTTGATAGAGAGCACACAAAGGTGGTATTCCAACTTGTTGAAATTAATAATTAGTGGCAATATGGCCTTATAAACTGCTGGTCACTCGCAAAGCAAAAATGTAGGTTGTTATCAGAGGTCCATAGCCGCAAAACTGGCAAATACATTTCAATAGGGACTTCTTTGTATGTATAAAGGTTGGTAATCGCTGCATTGTGTGAAACAGACACCAAAAGTGTTGGTTGTAAGGTTGGAAAAATAAATATAATAGATACTAAATATTATACATAAGCCACAATCCCTGCTCAAATGTCCTTGAAAGCAGTCAACACATTTTTCTTGCCCATTCATATAACTATTAAATAATAATATAGCATAATAAAATTAATGCACATCACTTATGACCAATGTCTCGTTTTTCCGTGAAAATGGACATGTTTTATTGATGAACGTCGCATGGTCTTATTCGTTAAAAACCAGATTTAAAAAGTGAGGTGTTAGTGGTTGAATGTTTCTTCCTTCTCAACATTTTTTATGGGCTTCCAAAGTGTCAGTTTTATCAGCATAGGCAAGGTTCGTCATCTACTAGCTATATGGGTTAGTTGAAATAATAGTGAAAAAATCGCTGGCTTATTGATTTTCCATAATATTTACCCGAAAATGTTCAAAAAAGAAGAACCACCCCTTGACGTACGCAATACTAAAATTAGGTTTAAAGGTACTCTTACGCCTCCAGCTCATTCATTAGAACTTTTCAAGCGCTCTTATTCATATTGGCAATTATAGACACTTGTTTGAATAAAGTTAACAACAATCTGCAGATGAACTTAAAATATTAAAAACTAAAAATGCTTTTTTTGTTTTTTGTTCTCAAATCGTTTGTTAAGCTACTACTTGAATGTGGTTAAATTTTTGTACTTTTTTAATTTCTTTTTTCTACTCCCTACGCTAGTAGTAAGCAAACATAGAGATGTGTGGGGTGATTTGGAGTACGACGGAAAACCCATAGAACGCGTCCAACATTACAAATATTTAGGCTGCATACTTAACGCAGAGTGGGACAACACACAAGAGATAAGATCCCGAATAGAGCAAGCCCGGGGCGCCTTCGTTAAAATGAAGGCCGTGTTATGCAGCCGCGATATCGATTTAGCTTTGAGGATTCGCATTCTCAAATGCTATGTCTTTAGTGTGCTCATGTATGGGGCCGAATCGTGGACGCTGACCGAAACCATGTGCAGAAGACTGGAGGCTTTCGAAATGTGGACATACAGACGCATGCTGCGAGTCTCGTGGGTTGACAGAGTCCGAAATATAGACATATTAAATCAACTAAACAAACAAAAAGAAGTCATACACACTATCAAAAAGAGAAAACTAGAATATTTCGGACATATTCTACGCAACACAAAGTACCAAATACTCCAACTCATTATGCAGGGCAAGATAGATGGTAGGAGAGGCCCAGGCCGTCGCAGAACTTCCTGGTTGAAGAATCTGCGGCAGTGGTATGGTGTTAGCGCCAGGACACTTTTTAGAAGAGCGGTGGACAAAGTCCAGATTGCGCTGATGATCGCCAACGTTCGATAGGACAAGGCACGCTAAGAAGAAGAACTCCCTACTCTGGGATGTTTTCGATAGATTTTAGTTATCGATTCTGACGGTCACATCACACGTGACACAGTAAATGTATTCGTACTGTTTTGCTAAAATGTACCCAAAAAATAATAGTCGTAGAAAAACTAAAGTATGCAACACGTTGAAAAACTTATTCAGGCACTCGTTTATTAAGCACTCGCTTCGTTCGTGGCAAATCAAACTAGTGACTAAAATGGAATTTATCAAACTTGTTGCATAATATACTATTCCTCTCACTTCTAGTGTAAGTTGTGTCAGAAATTAAAGGCTAACACACTTTTTTTTAAATTTTATCTATAATGTAAGAACAGTTTGCATTCCTGGACTGTTGAACTGAACTACGCTTATTATTATTATTAAGAGTGTAAATAATAAGGGATCTGGAAAATAATCTAACTTATTCCAGATTACGAAAAACTGCCACCTATTTTATGCCCCTTAACACAATTTAATTTATAGTTTTAAATATTAGATACTACGAACACCCAGTCGTTAAGGATAACCAAGTTTATTAGTGTCCTTAATTAAATCCGTTTTATGACTATCTGGACTGCCGACGAGATTGTTAAGATTTCTCGAGACTAGGTTCAACAATGTCAAAATAATACCCCAAATGCTGTAACTACAATATGTTAGAACAACCTTACAAATTTCGAACTTACATAAAATTATTAGCGCACGAATTGTCCAAATAAGTATTGAGCGCTCATTGGCTTGGCAAGTATCAAATAAAAATAAGTCATGGAAGTAAGCAAAACAGTATATTTTCGAATTTTATATAATAAATTATTATTATTATAAGTTATTTTGAAACTTTTATAAACATTTAATCACTCTATGTAGTGACACCTCGGGACATTAAACTTGAGACACGCTGTATTCAGAGAATAATTCCTAAATTGTGACCGAGATTTGTGTAGTGTCACGGTCAAATACCAATTAACAAATAATTGCCAATCATAATGCAACAGATATGTTGGAACTATAGAAGTCATACGTAATTTTAATGTTAAGTTATAGCAAGAATGCGTAGGCGTGTGCTCACCATAAACGGTACAATCGAATCCGATAATGAATGCTAGTTAGGCACCGTTGCTTTTCCAGGACCATTTCGGTCGGCTTACTGCGTTTTATTTTTAAAAATGTAATTACGGGTGACATTGTTCTGCTCGAACTGCTACTTACAATTAACTTTCCAATCTACGCGAATACGCAAAACGAAGAGCATTGGAATGTAGGCTTTTTGTTAATATACCTAATAATTTGCAGCCCGATTAAAAATTTCTGGGATTTGGCACAGCATGAGTACGGGGATTGCTAAATTTTGAGAAAAGTTGTTAACTAGTTCCACTTTTTTTTCCAATTCAGGGTAATTCAGGAGGTTTAAAAATAAAGTTGATAATGATATCCGAAGGACTAAACATAGCAATCAATCTGATAGTCTGATAGAGTAACTGAGTAACTGAGTAATGCAAATGTATTTCTGGTTTTGGGTTACTTTGCCAAATAACACCAGAAAAAAAATAAAATCCAAATCTCAAAGTTCTAAACTGTTTGACACTGAAATCAAAAACTTTGCGTCAATACTATTCCTTCTTCTAATTGACCGCATAAATATTCCAGTTGCTATATACGGACGTGTAACATATTTCGTTGAATGTGGAAACCAGTCTGTCAAAAAACTTCGGGCTTCCATTGTCTTTATTTTTATTTAATTACGAAACGTTTCAGACAGATGGAGCACTGTTCTTTATATAGAATAAACTGAACTAATTCCGAAGACCACTGCGTTTTAGCTGTTCATCCGTGGTCAATTTGTGTGCAGTTAACCATGAATTTGTCCACTAAGGACTGGTGCGCTTTATTAGTATTTACCAAATCATTAGTATTTCCACCCTTGGCTTGTTAAAAACATTACTATTTGCTATGAAGGTGGCTTTTGTAAATTTGCAGTTTTTGGAATGAGGTTCCTCGCGAACAACACCTACATCTAACCATTTTATGTTGTTGCTTTGACCAAACATTTACCCCAACGACAAGGCGCGTTCGTTCATTTGATTCGATATTTCGGGTCTGGGGTTTGTCAAGGCAATTCTTACAGTTGCTCCTGACTAGAAAACTGTTTTTATGTTATATCGAGAAGTGATTCGTCACGTCGATATAAACATGTCTTTGGGACTTACTACTTTTACTCAAGGGCATTGATAAATGGCAAACAAGATTTCATTTCTTACTTGTTAATAAATTGATTCAATCATTAAGTGAACTAAGCTTTCTTATTATAAAGTGTCATCAACATTCTTTTCAAACCATTCCATATTCGCTGTCACTGAGGAGATCAAAAAACCATAATCCTGGGCATAAACTGTTGTAAAACAGACTAAAAGTACGCCCCTTACGAAGACGTATTGTCTCTCGATTTAGTAACCACATGAGAAAATATCAAGCTGAAAAAAGGATCCTTCTTGTCCTTTAAATTCCATCTTCTAAAGAAACCTGGAAACCTCTATCATGGCACTGCAATGACGTTTGTTGACCATCTGAATAACGTCAGATTGTCTCTTACGCACATTGAGTCAGCCTGTTCGACTAAATATTTTATGGAATCTAAAAACACCGCGGTAAAACCGCCTTATAAAAAGAATGTAAGCGAAATCAGTTTGTTTTTTCGATCTTAAACGTTTGAAAATTACCGTTGTCGTTGTATGCTAGATGGAACATTGTTTTTTAACGAACTTTAAAGGTATTATTTCCATGCACTACCGTTTACTTTTAAAACGAAACGAACAACAAGTCTAAGTACTAATAGCGTTTTTAAGTCTTTAAAATTAACTGCGTCGTTGGGACTTAACAAAAAAGTAGATTATTTATTTAGAAGTATTACTTTAACGTTAATAATCTTAAGAAAGGTCCTGTACATTGCACTTTTTACTTTACTTTTCGAACATGTCAGTCGAGTGGCAACTTTTGAAGCAAGACGATTACCAAAACCTTCAACTCCTTAAGTGGAAGTACCGCAATAATTTTTTTCCATCGGGATGAAGGTGAAATGACTCCGCATTAACATTAACATAGTTCTGAAGGTTCAATAATAGGCGAAACGTCCGAACGAAGAATAGCTTTTTCTTCTTATTTTGTAAGGTTGTAACGGTGTTAATATTGCTGATTGCTTACATGCATTTTACGTCATGTTCTAACAACGATACTAATCATTCATTATTTCTGCCA